TTGGTGTGAATGAAATTGAATAACTATACATGCCCACCCACACCCTAAAACTATTATTCGTACTAAATTTATGTGGGTTCATCAATATCCATAGCTTCAATGTCAAATACATCAGTATGACCTTGTTGAAATGGATCTTTATATGTTTTCGATGTGGTTAATGAAACTTTTCCTATTAGAAAAAAAAACAACTTTTTTCTTCTATCTCTCATATTAAAAAGAAATAATTAAACCTGTATCATTCTTTATTCCAAATAAGCAAATATAAACATCCGCATTGAGGGTGTGGGAGAATGTTGTCTTTACCCACACCTACAAATCTCAACAATAATATAACAATTATTCACATATTTTATAATTCTTCTTTCTCTTCACTTGATTCAGGAAAATAAACTGTCTCATTTATTTATTTAAAATTTGTCGAAATTAATTCTATGAACAAATCATGATAATCATTATTTATATTATATTTATAAAACATCGTCATTAGTATCTCTTCGTCTTCCATTATTATTTCAATGATGACAAACAATAATACCATAAATTCATCATATCGTTTTATCAGATTTACTAAATTCAAAATTAAAATAACAAATATTTTATTACCAGTATTATCAACACAATAAATCAAATCAAATAAATTAACAAATTTATTTATTTTGAAAATAATTTTATTCATTTATACACATAACTTTATCACTACAATATTCTCTCATTTTACTCTCCTATCCTCTCAAGCTTTCTCGTCTCCAGTAGAATTTAAAACTCACTTCTATATATATTTCGATCGAATCACAAAATTTTATTTTAATTATTCCAGTACAATATCAAATCAATCACAACAAAATTAACAGATAAATCAAACTTTTATTTTATTTATTTTAAGAAATAAAATCAAAACAGATATTTATCAATAAATCTAACCTAATTTAACTATTAACAAAAGTTCATTTTGAATATTTGCATTTATTTAGTTTTTAATCAAAATAAACAAAATTATTTTCACAAAAAATTTAATTATTCATTTCATTACCAACATCAACAAATTTAATTCAAATCAATTTCAAATTTTTGAACTCGATGATTATCACAATCGGCAGCATAGAGATTACCTTGAACATCGAATGATAAGCCTGTGGGATAACTAAATTGATTTGGTTGTTTTCCAATTCCATTTCCACCAACAACAATACTAGCCTCCTTAGATCCTTTACACCAACGCATTATTCGATGATTGTCCCAGTCAGCCACATAAATATTACCCAAATGATCGACAATCAATCCTCGAGGATTAGATAATTTTGTCGAGCTATTCCCTTTACCATTCCCACCAGCAACAATAATACCTTCTTTTGCACCTTTCATCCATTTCATGACACGATGATTGTGTGTATCCGATACATAAATTGAATGATCTTTATCAACAAAGATATAAGTAGGACAATTGAGTTGATCGAGATGATTTCCTTTTCCATTTCCACCTGCTACTATTGTTCCTTCTCTCCCTCCTTGTTTCCATCGTCTCACTTCATTCTTCCAGCTATGAGAGACATAAAGATCTCCATTCTTATCTATTGTCAGACCATAGCAATGAATATCGGAAATGATTGTTTCTCCATTTTCACCATTTTGACGAGACCATCGTACCACTCGTCTATTCCATTGATCACAAATGATGAGAGAATCATTTTTTTTATCAACAATAACACTCCTTGGATAATTCAATTGATCACTCCGTTTTCCAATTCCGTTTCCACCTGCAACAACTTGACCATTCTTTGCTCCATATTTCCATTCAACAATACGATGATTGTAACAATCAGCAATATAAATAGATAGATGATCATCATCAACATAGATATCTTCAGGAAAAGAGAGTTGATTTAATTGGTTGCCTTTTTCATGTCCTCCAGCAATAGTAATTCCATGTTGTTTCCATTTAGTATTGATATTAATATAATTAAAAAGAATTGATTGTTCTAAAACAAAAAAAGATTTTGTTTATATTCGAATGAAGTTGATGATAAAATGTGAATAAAAAGAGTATTATTTTAAAATGTAAGAAAATAAAAATGATTTGAATCTGAATTTAATTTAATCTAAAACTCATTTAATAAAATAATTTTTCTATTTGTAAAATAAAATTTAATTAATTTGATATGAATGAATTTGTTTCTCTTTGAAAAAGATTTCAGAAATAAAAAATGAAAATTTATTTTGTTATGAAAATAAAAATATTTTTATTGGAAATGATTTAAAGTGAAAATGAAATAAATATTGTGATGTTTATTGATATAAATCTATGTTGATATAATAGATTCCGTATGAATGGTATTTTTTATCGTAAATCAAAATTAAAGAGACAAAAATAATGAAGATATTTGGAAGAGAATCTTTTTCTTTTTGGATTTTCTAATTTTAATATTTATTTGACAAACAAATCTTTTTTTCTATAAAATCCTGATCAACAAAGCTAAACTTTGCAAACATTTTAATAAAAATTCTACAAAAACATTGTTACAAATTTGGTTTTTGTCTAATAAAGATTGTTAAGAATGAAAAACGAAAGAGACAGAGTTTAGAATTAACTATGTTAAATCTTATTTTAAGAAAGACGAGATAAGTTTGATTTACAAATATAGAAGATTGATGAGTTCTATAGATGAATGAGAATGAAGTTAAAGATCTTTTTCTATCAGTATAAAAACAGAACATAAAGTTTTGATGATTTCTTCGAATAAATCTTAAAATATGAAGAATTAATCTCATTCATATCGAAATCAGTTTCAATAAAAGGTAATAAAATGAATGAAAGAAGAATAGTCAACATTATTCATTACCATACAAAATTATTTCAACTTTTTTTTTGACACAATTTCTATAAATATATCACGTTAATATTAGAAAAAAAAGATCTCTATTTCTCATATTTATCCAAATATGACTTTTTTAAATCTAGTTTTATCTCTTTACATTTTATATTTTGTTTCTAAATAATTTATTGTTATTTTGTGTTGAAAAAGAATTGAAATTGTTTATTTCGTAATCATTCAAATATCAAAAACATTATTTTTTAAACTTTTTAAATGAAAGATTTTTTATTTTGAATTACTTTTTAAATTTAATATTAAAGGAGATTTATTTAAATATGATGATCAAAGCCTCCACAACCAATACTGTATATATATTGTGAACAAAAGTCGATTGTGTAACGCGTATTCTCGACATTACTCTATGGCAGCAATCGTAGAACAATAATCACTCCAATGGATTCAGTTTAGTTCACTTCGAAATTTCTGAACTAAAAATGAGGATGATAAACATTTTATGTGAAAAAGTACAAAATGTCGTGTCAATAGTCTTACTTGAACAAAAGCAAACGTAGATAAATATTTGAAAAAAATCAATTTCAGTACTATTCGAATGTTGATCTGTTCTACCTTTCTTACATTTCGACACACGTTGGCTAATCGTGTTATACATACATTCTTTACGCTGACACAAAATGCGAAGAATTCAAATGAAGTTTTTCACATCAAAAAGAGATTTTGATCGCAGCGCGTCCTATTGTCACATGAATAAAATATAGATATGATAATGTTTTAAAAGCTAAAGTATACGCGTACAGCCATCAAGCACTTTTACTTATAGAAGACTTTCTAAAAAATGACTCTATATGCTCTTGGCTTTTTTTCTGAGCAAATCTATTTCAAATGGAAAACTATCTATATTTCAAAAACTACATTGATCTATAATCTTCATTGGATAGCCTAATCCCTTCATTTTTTGTAAGCAAATAAGTTTGTCAAACCATTGATGAAATGATTGATTAACACTCCTCAGATGAAAATGATTGGCAAAGTTTTTTATTTGCTGTTTTAGTTTGTTAATATTTGAGTATTACACATTGAATAGTTTTTATCAATATAACAGTTAGTATCATAGCTACGAACTTCCGAAAATCTCACACATGAAAAAACTTTTAGTCTATTTGTGAACTTTTGTCGCAGAGTTGTATTTATTATTCTTATCATAAATAATAAGTATAGAAAAAACAGAACTCTTATTCTTTTCTTAACGTATAGAAATATCGTTATTTGTTATATTTTATTATAATTGATATAAATCATTCATTTGTATTAGAAATTAAATGGGTACAAATTAAATGGTCAGTTGTTTATTCAAAATGATCAGTAAAAGGCAATCAGTAATTAAGGCTGTTTTATCAGTAAAAAAACTGAAACGGTCAGTAGAATAATTAATAGTCAGTGACTTTTGGATTTGATCAGTAGTTTAATCATTTTATCAGTAAAATAATGAATTTATCAGTATTTAAACTAAAATATCAGTAGTTAATTATGTTTGATCAGTGAATCATCGCATTTATATCAGTTTTCAACGTTCTGTAAATATATTTACGGATCGTAATTACTGACATTCGACATTATTTACTGCTCAAAAATGATATATTTACTGATCAAAAAATACTGATCACTTTGTAAAAAAACAACTGATAATTCAGTATAAAAAACTGATCATTTAAATACTACCCAAATTAAATTAGACATGTCATTCTATATAACTTGAATTATACGCAATATTGAAGGAGAGCTTTTTCTTTTTCTTTTTTCTAAACATACACGAAAGTGTTGCTTTGATTTTTTTTCATATATGGGTGAATTGCGCTGGTATTGTACCGTTTGACGGAAAAAATCAAAAAAAATTAAAGTGAACATAAAGCATATTTGAACCGTGCATTCGATAGAGCTCTATTAGTTGTGTATAAACCAAGGATTTTCCCAACTGTCAGTTTTTTCATTTCGAAAAAATTCGAGTTTTATTATAAAACCAGTGTTTTTCTACTCTTTTTTGGCTAATTAAAGATATCGTTCTCGGAGGTTTCTTGCCAAAAAGAAATAAAAATGAGTATTTATTTAGTGTTATCATATACCAAACGAAAGCTTATGAAAAAGGGAATCTAATGAGCATGTGTAGAACTTTACCCACACGCATACATGCCCATGTTAAGGGTATGAACGTAAGAGTGCTGCTCTCACATTCTTACTTCATATCATGTCATTTTATACTATATCACGTCACGGTCATTCAGGGTATAAAACGTTTCTCAGTCTGAGAGGAGTCTGTTGAAGTCGAATAAGATAAAATAAAATAATTTTTTCTCTATATGTCTATCATTTTAATCTGTCGTGACTCTTTGATTCAAAAAAATCTGTCGTGACATTTTTTAAGTAAAGTATTGTTTTCTCGAGAATGATACCCACTTAGGAGCTAAAATTTTTACTACAGATATACCTCATAGTCAACTAAAAAAGAGAAAAAAATCTTGGTCTTAACTCTTCTAGTTCCTGAGAAATTCAGAAAACAAAATCGAAAATCTGTCGTGACATTTAGTGAGACATAAGCTACTTTCGCCTTCTATTTTTTATTTTTTATTTCAATCAAACGATTAAAATAAATTTTTTTTTTATGAAAACGATTCTCACTCTTTGCTCTATCAAATAAAAAAAGAATATTTGAGTTCGCTTTCAAGTTGGCTTTAGTATGTTCAATTTAATCTGTCGTGACATAATATAGTCACTTAGTATGTTTCATCAGTTTTTGCAAAATTTGATCTATGAATCAAAACCGAAATGATGATCAATCTATATCATCAGAAAGAGGAAATTCGTAGCTACAAAGTGATTGAAAAAGTTTAATTTTATTCAACCAAAACTGTTTAATTGAATCATGGTTTTCATCTATAGACGGTACCAGAAGCTGGTAATTTTGATCTTCTTCATCCCGAAAACTAGGACAGTAGCATGTTGGGAATCTGAATTTTTTACGTGAAGTAGTATAAACATCAAGGAGTATTTTAAAAAAAAAATTATGAAAATTGATTGAGTAGAAGTCAAGATATAACCATTTTCGTTCTTCCAAAGCAACGGTACAATACCAGCGCAATTCACCCATATATATATATATATGGATCGATGCTAATCTCTAAGTTCTTTATCTGTATTCGCACTCGAGCTAGGTAACTGATGCCATATTCACATTCTCTTATATGGTTTACTTTTGAATAGAGGAATTTCTCATTTTATTCATATAAGTGTCATGATTTAGAAAGATAAATGAAGAACTAAATATTAATGTTATTGTAAAAAATGTGTATCAGTCTAATAATAGGAAAAAATAAAATATAAAGAGAGTTCATGTTAGATAATATTTAATGTATATCGATTTGATTTCAACTCTAAATTATTTTCTGTCATCTAAAATGACTAACTGATAAACACAAAACTTCAGTTTTTTAAAGAAATATTTATTTTGTCGTAACTAGTTTCACCTTTTGGGTGTTTAAAGATTTTATTTTCGGTGATAAAAAATTCTTTTTATATCGATCACTCGCTTGAAAATCAGAGATTTTCTTTCAATAAGCTTACCTATGGAATTGTTTGTTCTATTAACATTAACATTGGTAGCTAATGAAGTTTTCTCTTTGAATCTAAGTAATTTTTTACGCCATTTCATACTCAAATCATAATCACCTCTCTGTGATGCGAGTTTACCAAGGTCTTCATATAAACTGATATGTAATGGATCATTCCATGGGAGTTGTTTCAACGAACGAGTAAAATATTTTTCAGCTAAATCAAATTTACCCATTTCCCATAATAAATTTCCTAATATTCGAAGATTCATTTCACGACTTTCAATTTGTTGTTTCATATACATAAGAACTTGTTTTAAATCATGTTCATCATCACCACATAAAGTCATTTTAATGATCCATATTTGATCATCATTACGACCAATATTATTAAGACGAAAAATAGAACCAATCATAAAGAGAACTTCTGATTCAACTGGAAAATAACTATGTTTACTAATATTAGCAAATGGTTTTGTATTGACCATCCTAGGATCAGCATCAATTTCAAACAACACTCGTTGCGAATCGATCTGTGTCGTTATATCACCTAGGAGGAAGAGAGCTGTGGAACGGTCATCAGTGGTGGAGAAAAATGAACTTATTGAAATGAACTGGCCAATGTTTTGTTTAAGACTATCTAATTCATCGTTTGACATTAGCTGACATCGATAAACGCGCACAAACTTCTTAGATTGATATTTTTGCAATTGACGATAAATATCGTAAATCAACGATCGAAATAAAAAAATCACATGAATATTTTGTGTACGTAAAGCTGCGTTAAGAATCTTGTAGAGGAATGTTTCTTTTGTATACCACCATAACACTTTATCAGGTAAATAATATTCTTGAAATTCACGAAGATTACTTAGTTCGTTATGATTTCCTTCATATTCATTTACACAAAGCTTAATAAGTTCATTTTCGTCTGTGTCAGTAGATTTTAATTGTAGAAGACAGTCAACGAGAAGTTGAGAAAAAACAAATTGTCCATTAACTCCTGTTGTGGATTTACCTGCATTAATACCTGTTGAGAAGATATTAATCGATAAAGGTTCTTCTATCTTTTTCTGAATTTTATGATCTGTTGTGATTTGGAAGACAAGCTCATCAAGATTAACAACAACAGATTTTATCTGTAGAAAAAATGATAAAATAAAGTAAACATCTCTTGGAAGAATTTTACTTTTGAGAATTTTAGAGCCCATTGCTCATTACTCTTCTTATCTATACAATAAACATAAATTGATATAACTTGTCGAAGTTGATGAATGTAGGGTACTATTTCTCGTCCCAATCGACCACTAACAATAATTACTAACCGATCTTTTTGTGATCTGTGTTCAATGTAATGTCGACATTGTTTTACATCTTGAAATTTCTTGATATGATTAATAATAGAACGTAATTTTACTTCTGTGTCTCGAATGTCTTTAACATCTACATTTGCATCGAGCCAGATAAGTGAGAATATTTCCAGAGACTTATCATCGGTGTTTGTGTAAAAGTCATCATTTGGTAGAACAGCAGCGGCCATGTTAATTCAAGAAACTAAAAATAGAGTAGATTTCTTAGATGTTATCTATTTGATCTATATACAATTATCGAAGAAATTGTATGTTTTTTAACAGTCAGAAAAAGAATGTCACATTTGTGCCATTATTGTATCATTTGTTAGTTTTTCATATTAGTTGGATGCAAATTGAAGAATAGAAGAGTAATATGTTATTATTTATTGAAGAAAATAATTCGTCTCTTGTTTTAACTTGTTTTTTATTAAACAGTTGAAGAAGAATATAGAGCAAATGATAATATCTTCCATGAAGCTATCCATTATCAATTGTTAGCGCGAGTCGAAAAATAATTCATCTGCCTATGTTTTGCTTTTCTCTTATTTTTTTCACAATCACAAAATGAAACAAATTGTAGATCTTGGAAAGATTAACCTACTAGAAACTATCATAATACAGATACACAAGATTTGACTGTCAATAAAAGTTAAAAACAAAGTTTTGTTTACTTCTTAAACATATTGCGATAAAATCAAAGTATAAAATGATTTCCTAGGTTTTGGAAAGAGAATAAAAAGAGAATAGTTCATATCTATTTAAACCAAGGATATATCAAAAGTAGTGATGATGAGACTTCAATATTGTAGAGAAAACTTAGGAAACCTTTCTCTCTCTCGCTATATATGTATTAATAGTAAAAACAGTATTCTATCTTTCTTCGTTCTTTAATCAATAATTATTATCAACATGGAAAGATTTTTTTGTAGAATAATACAAAATTTCATAACTTTCAATAGTATTGTTATTTTTCAAATCAAATAAATAATTTAACACATTCATTCTATTTCTCCATATAGAAAAACGAAAATACTTCTATGTTTTATTTACTTGAATCATCTACTGAAGAATAAACAAGATTTTTCTTTTTGATAGAATGAATTACGAATAAAATATTTTCTCTACTAGGCAAATAATGTTCATAATAATCAAAACATAAAACTGAAGAAAACTTTCATTACAAATAAATGTATTTTATTTATTTAAAACTTTTTCTTCATTTTTATTTCGATAGAAATATTTCCACAATTTCAATTTTCTCATTTTCTATTCGTTTAAAAATATTTTATTCATATCAACTTGCACAGAATCATTATTAAACTCTTTATTTCTAATTATAGATTATTTGACATTCTCACAAAAGTTGTATCAATATCTCTTGATAATGACTTAACGAATTATGTCTACCTAACAGAATAAGAGTCCACTATAAACAACTTACCAGATCTGACTATTCTAATACTTGAATGATATACACAGGATATAATTATCAAATATGTTTTATTTGGTAAGAAGAAATAAGAGAAAATGATACGAAGAATATAATAATAAATCAGTCATCCGTAGCGAATGATCAAGAAGAACGACAACAAGAGATACAAAGATGAAACAATAATAGTAAATAGCGTCGTAATGCTCCATCTATTCACGAGAAGAGATTATCATGAAGTTTCAATATAATGACTTATTAAAAGTGATTTATTAAATTATTTTATAAAGGAATATTTAATACATAAAAAGCTTTTTGTAACTCAAATCGATTGATTGAATATATATTAAAAAATGAAATAGAATAAAAAAGATTTTTTTTCTATAGAAAAAAAGGATATACAATAATTAATTTTTGTCATTTGTTTCTAATCTAATTTCTTAATAAAATCATATTTATGCAGATTAAATAAAAATAAGAATAAAACTGTGAAATATTTAATATAAATGATGAAAAAGTGTGAGAATAAATAAATAAATCTAATCATATTATGTTAAGATCGACTTATCGATATTTGTTAATTATTGAATAAATTATTTTCTATTTCTATTCTTATGAAAATTATCATTTAGAATAATAATCTTTTAATAAAAAATAAATTTGATAAAATAATATTCTACATCTTCATATTTGATTGATCTCAAAATTATTCAAAAACTAATTTTTTTGATTATTAAAACTTAGTTTAGAATATCGATTAAGATTATTTTAAATAAGAATGATAGTAAAGAAAAGCAAGAATTAATTGAATTAAATTGTATTTGAAAGTATTCTGTTAATCTTATAGATAAGAAAATATTTCAAATTCTAAATTAAATCAAAATTTCTGAATATTCTCAAAAGATTTGTAGATTTTGTTTGTTTTTTTTTGAAATAAAAATAAATTGATTTTACCATTGAGTATCTTTCATAACTATCGTACTGATATTCACCATGGAAATATCACATATGTTTCTATTCTAAATTAGATTGAACGACGAAAAAAGATATGAAATGAAATTTAAACTTATTATTGTGAATCATTAAAATATTCAATACGTTAAAAATCTCTTTAGAAATTGTTTTTCAACAAAATATGTATCATATGAATGATATTGTTTAACAATTCTTTTACTTTATGAAGAATTTTTGAAAAATCTAAAGAAACAGAGAAGAAAATAAAAACTATTTTTCATCATTTTTTTATTCATCGACATCTCATATCGAAATATTTTAAAGAAACACAAAAAATTCTAATAAAATGTTATTCAAAATCGATTTCCACAATGTTCATCGTTTGATTAAAATAATATTTCGACTTATTATCAATGAATCACAACTAATTAAGATTTATTTTCTTTCGAAATATATTTGATGTTGTCATCAGATGTTTCATTCAAATTCAAATAGAAACGGAGATCCAACTACATATGATCAATTAGAAAAATAACTTCCAAAAGTTACTATTAGATTCAACCGAAGCAAAGGATGAGAGAATTGAGAGACATACGTTATTATAGAGAATAAATTGAAATATTTATTTTTGCATTTATTGTTAAACATTTAATTCTTCACATATCATTTAATAAATTAAGAGAAAAATAAATGAAATATTGATTGATCTTCTGAATCTTTTATTAATACTGAAAAGCGAAAGAAGATGAAACTGGATTCGAATGGGAAATTTGTTTCTGAAGAATTGTTTAAACAAATATTTTATTTATTTTCGACTGTGAAATTTTTGTTATTCTTAAAAATAAAATCATTGAATTTTATGAACAGAAGAAATGAAATAATTAAATTCAAAATAATGAAAATCTAATCGATATTCATCAAAAGATTTTGCTTTTAATTTAATAAAAAAACGATTTTTAGAAATCTTCAAAATGAATTTTTCTTAAACGATTTCTTCTCTTTCAAACAAAATCACAATTTAATTCATCAAAAATCAAATCCACTCACTTTTTACAATTATTCTTTGGTACAGACGATGTCTAATTATCAATAATATGTTCCTCATTCAAGTATAATTTACTCAATAGATTTAACGGTGAAGTTTTTTTTATAGGAAAGCATTTCACCGACTAAATGTTTTGTTAATAGAGATATGACTAAAGTCAGAGTATAGGTGAGAGTGAATGTATAAGTGCATTAAGGATATAGCAGACATCCACACTCTCAATATGTTGTCGACGATCAACGACTGTCAAGAAATCCATTTAGATGATTAACATAATTCCTTCTATTTCATCATATTTTTGTTTCTTTTTTCGCAGACATATTTATTTTTCATTACGAAGAGTACAGTTTTTCATCAATAATATTTATTTGCACAGCACTTAAATACATTTTATTCCATATGAATTCTTTTTCTCTTTCTCTCGAATAACATTTCTTAGATATTGTGGACCTTCTATGTCTTCTTTCAATTTTTACCGATTCTTTTGTAATAAAATGCGTAGTTGAAAAAAAAAGAAAAAAAAATCACAAATGTTGTTACTTTATAAAACAAAATAAACGAATCATTTCGAGAAAAGCACATTCAGCCACACACACAATACCATTCGAAAGTTACGGACTATTACAATTTTTTCAAATCATTTCGTTCAAACAATTTCATTCGGGTAAATTTGACATTTAAATCATTGGGAAAAAAGAGTTATGTTTGCAAGACTTGCCTGTACGAGGGCGAATAAGGTTACAGTATGGTTTCAACGCGACCAAAGTACTCCAACAAAAATCAAGATAGATTTTGATTCAAATATTGATGATTTAAAAGAAGCCATTTTTTGTGCAACTGATAAAGGACAATATCAGGCGACGTACAACAACGAACCATTGAGACCATTGGCGAGTGTACCACGAAATACAACTGACCATATGCCAATTGTATTTACTAGGATTAGTAATATACCACCTCCATCAGGTAAGTCAAAAACTTTTATTAATGTTACTTCCATTGAGTTAAAAATGAAAACTATCATACCTACAAGACTTCAAGAGTGATTATACTATGTGTATACCACAATGTTTATGTATTCACTAGCGGAGGTACCCGATGTTGATTTAGAGCTTTACAGACAAAAAATTCATATGTCAGAAAACAACAGGAAATGCACAGAGAGTTGTGCCTGAGATTTTCATTTATCATCACAACATATCCCAAATAGAACAACTCGGGTTATCGAGCTCTCAAAATTCACCCGATTTTACAGATCTCGCTGCAACTCTATCTTCACTTCATTTCGGACTTAAAAATGCTTAGAGTTTGGGTCAAACCTTCATCTATCACGAATACACACACGTCCAGGATTTAGCACGATAGTTCAACGAATATTGTGTGGGGGTGATTATCTCACTTCGCACTCGTCCTCGCTTCTGTACAACACAAGCAGACCCGCCCGAAAGCGTAGTAATGGATGGATACTCTAAAAATCGATCAAACCAGTTAAATGAAATTTGATTAAATTTTAACCACCTTTCATCCCCATTTGACTTTTCTTGTACATAAGGAAGTGTCATCTCTAGGTTGGATGGGTGTGGGTGCGTGTGACAAGGGGAAAAGAACGGAATCCCGGAATTCAAAACGGTTTTCTAGAATCCGGACGAATCCTCAAGAATCACCGAGACGTGTTTTTGAAATCCTAATTGACCGGATTCCGCTCTTTCTTGAGGATGTGTGTGGGTGTTG